AGGGCTCAGGGTTCGAGAAGCACAGTTGCCACCTCGCAGTCTTCATCTAGAATCTGGAGACCAATGTTCTGCATTCTGATACCAAGACTGATGCTATTCTGCTAGGTATTTGTGGAGAACATCCGTTAGGTTGCTCCACAGTCTGTTCAGACTAATGCCAACAACTTGTCCAACTGTGCTGACAGTATTATCGTTCCGAAGCTTCAGAACCCCCTTCATGCTCATGCCAGTATTCATTGATCTGCTATCAAGGCTTATAATCTCATCAGGATGCAGCTTCGACTCATGACCATATCGCATCAATATTCATTCGGGCAGCCGTACGAAGATTCATACTCACAGGTCTAGCACATCAATGTGAAGACTCACATGCACAAGTATGCCGCACCTTCGTACTACCTGGTGACCACCTGAGTCTAGTTTTCGTTTTCCACGGTCATGCAAAACACTTACAATCTTCTATGCTGTGTATACAGCTGCTGGCACGAGCAGTACATCTTTCCTATGCGCTCATGCTTGTTCATATGTGGGTAGTTCTCTAAACTAGGAACCCAATAGGCGGCACCCCTATACCTGCCACGGACCTTGATGATGCGACACGCGCACGATTGGACACGCTGTACAGGTGGTTGGTCACACCACCGCCCTCATCTCCATTGTGCCTTCTCGAGCCCTGGGTTCTGACACTGCGGAATCAAGCCCAAGGAGGTGATCGATGTTGATGGTGGGCTAGCGGCGGACTCCGTTCGGACTGCAGAGAGCGGTGATGGAACAGTGGCGCCGACTCTTCCCAAGCTCAAACCCAGGAGGTAGCGCCGGCCTGGACGTGAAGCACCGGGGAACCTCACGATAGCTGAAGCTGGTGTGGATGAGAAGCCGAGCTCCACTCAGGGTCCTGCGGCTAAGGAGGAGGACGTTGAGATCCTGCATCTCGATCTCCCTCCACGGGGACTTCGCGATGAAATCTGGGCTGGAAGTGTTCGGCTGAGCTCGGTCCGGCCCACGGAGGAGGACAAGGCTGGCAAGCAGGTTACGCTATGTCTACCTGCCGTGCTGCTTTACATCCCGGAGCCACAGGACCTTGGTACGGACCTCGGTGCTGTGATTCGTGCTGCCGGGGAGGCAGCGACGTCCTCTCCAGCTCCCGGTGCTACCTCTACGCCAAGTACCCGGGACACGCCTCTGCCACCGCGTGGACGGCTTCAAAAAGGTACGAGAAAAACAAGTTGCACGTTGTCTGGCCGACTGATGCCCCAATACGCATTGACTACTTTTCGGTCGGTCGCAGACACGCTGCGCCGCCCTTGAAGCTTGGGGGCTTGGGGCTGCGCCGTGGAGTGCAGCATACTTGGTGGCATTTTGGGCAGATACCTTGCCAATCTTGCGCCGCCGCCTGCAGTTCCAGCGGGCTGTCATGATGTTTGACATGATCACCAAGCCCAAAGCATGACCTGCCGCATTAAACTCCGAAAGCCCAGGCCCTCAGGCGCGAAGCAACGCTGAGCCTAAACCCTAAATCCTACGAACACCGACCCAATAAACCTTACAAACCCTAGACCTTAAACGTCACATTTTTCCGAGCTCCGGGCTGTGCAGACCTTCTTGTTACCGAGCAGCATTCAACTCGTACCTGCAAACCACTGGGACCCCATAGCGGTAGCAGCATACTATATTATTTCAGCAATTACTACTAGAGAAACCATCTAGCAACTAAATAGCAACCATCGCAGTAGCAGCCTACAACATTATTTCAATAATTACTACTAGAAAAACCAAATATAGCAACTAAATAGTAACTATCATAGATATACCAAGGGTACTGTTAAGGGTTTGGGGTTTAGGGGTACTGGAATTATAATACTACTAAGGGTCGTACATATCTATATGTAGGTTTAATACGAGTACTGTTTGGGAGCTATATTTCTATTTTTTGAACAAGGAGCTTGTCTCTATATATATATATATGTATATGTTGAATATATTAGTATAATACTGGTCCAACAATGGTACTATTACAGGATATGATAAGTATAATAACGGCACCATAAAGGGCCCTATATGCCTGCATTATAACTAAAGGGCCTTATATGCCTGCATTATAACTGTAGTAAGGGTACAATCAACTGCTGCTGAGTTGGGCAGTACTCAGCTACTGGTAGCAAAGATCCAGTTAAACTGCGGACAAAGCCGTCAACCAAAAACCCATGCCTTCATGCTTAATGAATTCCTACCACCTATCGCTTCGCTCAACGCTTAAACTGTCTGCTGCATTTATGCCGAGGTTGGAAATTTGGTGATGCTTTCTTAATGTGGATCCTTGAAACCTAGAATAAACTGGCAACAGGTTCGGGGACTTCAGGGATCTCAGGGAACAGGAGTAATTCATGGGAGCCTGCCCCCATGAAGTGTGCAAGCACGCACCTCAGAAGCCCCTACTGCAGCCTGAAAGGCCCGAAACCCTAAAGCATCTTTGCACCTCCCCTCAACCCCTACATCCAAACCCCCAGAACCCCAGAAGCCACCCGAAGCCCCAAGACCCCAAAATCCCGGACCCCTGAGCTTCGAACCCGAAGCTCTAAACCCCCAAAACCCCCTCAAAACCCCGAAGCTCCGGAATTTCTCAGGTTTGCGCTTTGTGGCTGTCGCCGCAGCCAACAGGGGCGGACTGGTGAGCACCACCGGGCTTTGGGCTTTGGGTTTAGGGTTTAGGGCTCTGGGCGCTTTAGGGGCCTTAGGGGCTTCAGGGCTTTAGGGCTTCAGGGTTTAGGGTTTTGGGGCCTTAGGGTTTGGGGCAAGTTTAGGATTCACGGTCCCGGTGCTCGCAGCAAGATAGAACGGCTTTGACTACTGTCACTAAGCCTGGCAACGACGGTCAGTGCAATAGAGCGACCAGCGACACGCCATGGATATCCATAGCAAGTCTGTTCGGGGCCTTGGGTGCAGGGACTGCATCTGCGGAGGTAAGCCGCATCTGTGATGCGAGTCGAGACTTTCCAACTGTCCTCAAAACGTTTCAGGCAAAGTGTGGAACAAACCCCTCCAATCAAACTCAAAGCCTACAGTACAGAGAAAAGGTCCCACAGAGGCACTGGCTTGACTCCCTATATGCTAGATCTTAGACCCTCAAACCTCGAACTCCCGAGTGTCCGAAACGAATCCCATGAATAATGAAAGTACACTGCCCCTGAACCAAACCCCAAACGTCCCAAAACCCCTAAACCCCAAAGCCCCGAAACCCTAAACCCCTAACCCCCTAAACCCCTAAACCCCTAAACCCTAAACCCTTAAACCCCAAAGCCCCTAAACCCTAAATCCCTAAACCCCTAAACCCTAAACCCCAAAGCCCCGAAACCCCAAACCCTAGAAAAGAAACCGAGCACCGTACCAGCTCCGGTCGGTTCTTAGCCTCTTTTTGGTTCAGGGGCGGGGGATATGAAGCTGCAAGCTTTAGGGTTTAGGGCTTAGGGGTTTAGGGTTTAGGGTTTGGGGTTTAGGGTTTAAGGTTTAGGGTTTATGGTTTGCTTGGCGGGCTTTGGGCTTGTGATTAAGGGATTCTGGGGATTCGAGGGCCTAGGGATTGGTAGGGTGCTCAAACTGAGGCGTGGCTTCACTCGTTGGAGACTCTGCATAGGGCTTGGGTGTCCAGGTTTTGCAGCATCGGCTGCTTGGGCTCAGGCCCCAACCTAGCTAAAACTCGGTGGGTTCAAGAAGCTTCGGGGCGAGGCCAAAAAGATCACCCAAATCGCGCAACCCCTAAAGCACAAGACTCTGGCCGCTTCTTGGCCACGCTTGGTTGCCGGAATCTCTCCACTGCAAAGCTCGGACAACCTTTGGCGAATCCCGACAAAAGCCCGCCCCGCTCCTGAAGGCGAAGCCGTAATCCTAAAGCTCCAACGAATAGGAAACCTTGAACCTCAGCCGTCACCCAAAAAACTGAACAGCACCGACGCCTTGAACCCACCAGCCCAGGCCCCGTCCAAACCCTGCAAACCCTAAACCCTAAACCCTAACCCAAGCCCTATCCGTCTCGGGAGTTCCGGAAACTGTCGGGTTCTCTCCGCCTCGCGGCCGCTGTTGCCGCACCGAGCAGTGGAGGTGCTGCGGATGCCCATCTGAACCTTCAGAAGTTCTCGAGGGCCTTAGGGCCATGAGGGCTTAGGGTGTAGGGTTTAGGAGTTTAGGGTTTAGGGCTTAGGGTGTACCCATTTTAAAAGCCTTCAGAGGCTCTTGAGCGACTTTGGGGCTTAGGGCTGCTTAGGGGCTTGATTGGGGGGGTCTTGTTCAGGTTTCGGAGTGGCTGTTCGGAGTTTGCTGGAAGCCGGGATTTGAAGCTTCGAGGGCGGGAGGGTTTTGAGGTGCAGGGCTGAATTCCCAGAGAGCCCAATGAAGTTGCGCTGGTGCAGCTTGCAGCTGTCGCATGATGACGCCTCCGTGGGAGGCAAATATATACAACCAAGGAAGATGATTCGGGTTGGTTTCATGATTGCAGTCAGGGCAACCGACAAGAGATGCAGCATATAGTCCACAAGTCTCTTCGAGGACGCAGGCATTGGCGAATAGGGACCCTTTGTGCATTCCTGCTGTCTTGTTCCGAGGAAGAACACCAAGGCTGAACCGGAACCTTTTGCATCTTTCACATGTGTGGGAATCCTCGCCAGTCACAGAGGACTGGCAGCAGTGCAGCTCCAGATGTTCCACTCGGGTCCACCACAAGATGTGCTACGGCTGCGGTTGGCAACTTCGACAGCTGCGTGGCAGTCATAAGAAACCTGACCAACTTCCCGGGCACGTCGTCGCCATCTCATCCAGTGCAAGCAGATTTCGGGCCTTGCGTGAGTTCTCTCCGTCGCTCCAGCCGCAGGAAGTCGTTCACTTCAACTTCGTCAGTGAAGGCCTAGAAACGCTCTGTCTCTGGTCATCTTGTGCCAAAGTTGACCTTTGGACCTGAGCGCTTCGTGCTATAGGGTTGACAAAGGCTTTGCTACGGTCCTGGAGCATGGTCAGTAGTTCCCGCTTGGTTTAGGACATCTCCCCTTGTCGCCATTGTGCTTCTGCAGGCAATGCTGGAGAATCAAGTTTTGGATCGGACAGCTGTTGCTGCCTCGGGTTGTTTGTGGCGCCTTTACATCATCCTCAAGCATCGCCTTCCAACTTCGCTCCATGTAGTGGTCCGCAACGGAGCGCAGGTCCCCACAGCGGCTCATTTCAGCCAGCAGGCTCTGGTATTTTGATTTCGGCCATCGGCGCAAGCGCTCCGCACGGACCGCAAAAATGCCGTTGAAGAGAACCCCGGCACACGTTGGCCGGATCAGATCCTGCTCAACGAAGTTCTGGTACCACGTACCAAGAGGGCGCATGGAAGCATTGCAAAGCCGGATCATGCCCCATTTCTGCGAAACATACGTCACAATGTCAAAGGCAGGGTTGAAAGGATTGAACTCTCCTTCAAACGTGTGGGCCATAGTGGAAAAATTGCCAAACAATCCACGAGTGGCTGGTCGTAGCTGTGTCATGAGATAGTTGAGCTTCCTGCAAAGAAGCTGATTGTTCTCGTTTCGCATGATACTGCCGACGCTGAAGACAGTGATATCCGCTAAGGAATCGTAGTTCTGGACTATGTGATGTAGATACACCGCATTCTCGCCACCGAGGTTCGGCAGTGGGATGCATCGAGGATCGAGGCTTTCGCTGCCAGAGCAGTAGAGCTTCAGCTTCGCGTCCGGGGCCATGGACATCATCGGCTCCAAGTAGCTCAGATTCTCGTTGAAGGCCGCGACCACGAGGTCTACGGTGTTCGAGGCCGGCGCAGGGCCAAAAGGCGTCTGCGCCGTTGCGCAGAAGCCGGGGATGGAGGTTTTGCTCAGGGGCCTCTGGTCTGCCGGTGAGGTGCAGCTCGGGGGCTTCACCAGCGTGTACCAAGGGCCCATGAACCATTTCGGGCCGGTGTTGGCGCAGGCCTGAAACCAGCCCTTGGAGATGTTATGGATCTGGTCCGAGGCCTTGTCGGGGAGCCAGTGGAGTCCCTTGCAGAAGGATGTGGAGCTGCAGAAGCTAAGCATGGCCTCTTTCGAGCCACCCTTCCAATTCTCGAAATTTTCAATGCAGCGATAGCCTTTCAGCAGCTCCGCATGGGACCAGTCACATTCCCAGACTTTCTGGTAGGTCGAGTAGCCGTCCTTGGGGCTCTGCAACTGACGGCAAGTGCCCGCTGTCGCATCAAAGCGAGAACAGGTGATGCCTTCCTTGAAGGAGATGAAGGTGCAAGAGGGGTCCGCAGAACAGGCTATCTTGCAGCTCTCCAAACTCCGAGACTCAGCTGCGCCCCAACCTGCGTAGTAGCCAGAATCGCAAAATCCATCGCCATGGAAGGTGAAGTTGGCCATCGAGGTCCTTGCTGCTGCCGCCATCAGAGTCGGCCTCGGCGGGTCATCGGAGCCAGGCTTCGGACTCGGCTCGGGCGCCTCGGCTTCTGCGACCCAGCTCTGCGAGCTGGCCTCTGCTTCGACGTTCGGAGTCCAAGGCAGCCAGCCGTTCTTGGGACCCGTGATGCGGAGCAGACAAGCAGCCACGGCCAGGGTCAGACAGACCAGCAGGCGGCGACCACATAACTCGCGGGCCATGGCAGGTCAGAGGCGCCGCGCAGCCATTCTTAGACACGCGGAGTTCAGCTGCTATGACTTCTTATTCTCATGTCTCCGCAACTCTCCAGAAGTCCAACTACAAGATTCTTGTAGTCTTCGGGCACCTTGGGGCCATGTCGCCAAGTCGGAATTTACCCAAGAAGTCCAGATCGCCCAAGTCCAGATCATCCCTCAAGCAAAGCCCCCGTCTTCCCCAAGGGCTTACGGCCCTGAAAGTCTCCCCTTGCGGCATCCCAACACCCAAAGAAGTGGACCCTTGAAGTTTAGGGTTTAGGGTTTAGGGTAGTTTCCAAACCATGACAGAGACTGCAGGTTCTGAAATCCACAACTCTAACACCCTAAACCCCAGAACCCCTAACGTCTCGCCTTGTTCCGGACTTTGCTCATGTCCAACGCCGCCAGCTTCGCATCCGGCTCTGGCCTGCTTGGATGAATGTCGTGGCCGTAGTAATTAGTATGGAGTTCCTTTTGGGGTCTTAACAGGTTCTATACGGGTTACTACTATCAGGATTTTGAGATCGGGGCCTTACTAATTAGCATAGGGTTCCTTTAGAGGGTTCCAAAAGGGATACGATAAGGGTTTCAATTCTTACGGGTTTTAATATAGGGGCCTTACAATTTAATATGGGGTTCCTCTGCAGGCTCCTTCTTTCCAAGAGGTCTAGCGGGGTTACTATACCAGGGGTGTGTATATGGCCTTATCAGCCGTTAGACTTATGGTATGATCACAAGTAGGAACCCTGAGGAATAATGTCGGTAAGTGTTCCGACGACGATGCTAAGGTAGCTTTCTGGGGCTTTAGGGTTTAGGGGTTAGGGGCTCAAGCACTTTAAGGGGCCTTTTGAGGCTGAGGGTGTTTAGGGCTGTAGAGTTTGGGAGGTTCAGCTTTGGAGATCCATCGAACCCTTGAACACCCTCCAACATAAGACTCAATGGAATGGCCTGCAATTCTGTCTAAGGCTCGCAAAAGTGACGACAGCGGGATGGAGGACTACCAATCCCGCTGGCATCGAGCCTATAACGCCCCAACCGCCACCCAAAATATTGCCATTGCACTTTAAGCCCCCGTGGTAAGCCTCAATCCTTAAAACCCAAATCCTAAGCCACTGTAATCTTGAAACCCCGCGACATCTTCAACGCCTGAACCGTGAAACCGCCAATACCCGAAACCTTGAACCGGGAACTCCACACCCCCAAAAAACTCTCAGCCCTGCCAGAATCCACCAAGATGCAGAGCCCGAACCAAAACCGAGAACAAGCCAAGAGCTTGAAGCTCGAAAGACACAACGCGAGGAGAAGCATCAGGCGCAAGGATTTCGTTAATCAAAACATGTTAATGAAGGCCAAGCGCCCCTGGTTCAGCTCACTAAACAACATCGTGACTGGGCATCCGCGCACGGCACGCGGCGTCCTGCGCATCAACCGTGCCCCACAGGCTCGTCGCTGCTGCCGGGCACCCTGCGGTGCTTCGCTTCCAGTAACGGTCTTGCAGGTTTGAACAGGGACAGGCTGAACGTTGCGATCTGAAAGGTTTGAGGGCTCAAGCTTTTGCTTTGCTTCTGAGACGATGCACTTTGAGCGATGTCAACACCAATTGGTAAAGCGCAGGCAATGCGTGCAAGTGATGCGTGCAAGTGCCAGCAGCATGCTTCGGGCATTAGCGAAAAAGCTATTTCCGCCTAAGCACCTTCATGATGCGCATGCACACAAGCAAACAATGAGTTCCAAGGGGGGGACTCGGAAGCTACAACCAAGGATCATTGAGCTGTCGTAAGCTGTAGATATCGACAGCAGCTAGTAAAACCTTGATTTTACTCAACATGCTGTGTTGAGTTCATGTTCGTTTCTGTAAGTTCTTCGAATAATAGAGATGTATGACTATCTAGCTGTCTCGCTGCCCAGAAAGTTGCCGCACGCCCCTGTAGCAAGCGCTGCTAATGGTTAGAACAAGGTTTCGGGGCATACTTTGCTACTGACGATCCCTGAAAAATAGGATTTCTAACTATTCAAGCCGCTATAGTGTCATTATTGAGCCCGGGATCCCACGTGTCTGCCTGCTCGGTGTGACGTCTCCTCCGCTGTGCGCCCGGCCGCGTTCCGGGAGCAGGTGCTGAAGCCCTGGCGGCTTTCAGGGTTTGGGGTTTAGGGCGTCGCGGGAGTTCTGCGCCCAACCTTCAATAATGGACGCATGAATAACATGAATAGTAGCACTCTGCACTTTCGTGCCCTGGTTTCTAGGTAAGGTGGTTTTGGTGACGGGCTCGGCCTCGTTGATTCATCTGCCCTGCACCGTAAACATGAAAATGATCCTGCTCTCTCTACTGTAAGGACCACTTTAAGGCCAGCAACCCAGGGTTCTCGGATCTGCCAAACCCGCCCCTTTCAAACCAACCTGTGTTGCCCCGGAGCCTCTACAATGCTTTAGGGCCTTAGGGTTTAGGGCCTAGGGTATCATAATACTATGATATCAGCCCTCTTCCGGGCTACCTGAAGCTTTTTGGGCTTTGGGGCTTTAGGCAGAAGTTTGCTGGCTCAGAACTTCGAGTCGCTCTGTGGAGCATGAGCTTATGAAGAGCGTGTCGGAGATTTTATGGGAGTTGGGTCGTCCTCTAAATTAGGGCCCCAATTGAGATCCCAAAGATAGTACGGCACCCTTGTAAGAAGGACCCTAAACGAGACCCTAGTGGCCCTAATTTAGAGAACTACCTTTTGGTGCTTGGGGGATCGCCGAAGCTCGATGCCCGGATCTCCTCGACCTTCCCAAGCCTGCCTCGAACCTGCAACCCCCATGCTCCCAACTTCGAACCCCAAGCCCTGCCCAAACCAAACTCTCAATTCCGAGCCCCGAGCCCAAACCCTGAACCCTAAGCCCTACACCCCAAGACTCTGTTACGCTCTGGGGGTTTTTTGGGTTCATCTGAGGGTCTCAAGCACGCCGTGGCAGCGAGTTCAGTGAGCCACGCAGATCCCCTGCAACTTCCACACTGGCCGTGAGGATGGGCGAAGCCTCATCGGGCAGCTACGAAGGTTCAGGTTGAGTAACGTAGGGGGCCTTAGTACGGAAATGATATTGGTACTTATTCAGGCTGGTATGGTATCTCGGCCGAGGGCGTAACATGTTGCAACTTCTCGGACTTAGCTTTCAGAGTTTTCGGTTCTAGGGTTCTGCTTTTTGGCTTTAGCTTTGTTTAGGTCTTGCGGGCTCCACAGGAACCCAAGTATTTCCATCGCTATGGGTTCAGGGTTTAGGAAACCCTAGACCCTAAACATGCCTGCACCGGTTTCACGTCGCCTCGGGGCTTCAGAGGGAGCCTCAAAAGGCTTCAGTGCTGTGAACCCTAAACCGACAAGCGGTCCTAAGCTATCTGATCTCTACAAGCGTAGGCGTCAAACCGGCAGCACCCGAAACCTTCTGCTTTACGCCCTACGGCCTTATTCTGCGAGCTTGAAGCCTGATGCCGATCGTGGCAAGGCCTTCCTAGTGGGGGCTTGGAGCTGAGGGTTCCCCTAAACCCTCCGCTGCGAGCAACTACAGAGCACATGGAGTTGTATCAGGCCTCCTGTATGGGATTCTTATGGTAAGGATCCATGACTAATCCAGAGTTCCATTTACTTCGCTGGAAGATTGCTGCTAGCGCACGACAGAAGCACGTTGAAGACGTTGTGATCTATACGAAAACGAGTAAGCAGAGGCCTTGATGATCAGTTATTCAGGCTTCTATATTGCATCACTACCACCACGACGGCGACGACAACGACTGCCACTCCCAGCGCTACAGACCACAACCTCGACCTTCTCGGCAGGCGGATGGTTCAGGGAGATCCCAGGCGCGGCCTGAGGGACCTTCAGATGGCGGTCATCGCTTTGCATCGTAGTAGGCTTGAGGAGGAGCAGTACAAACACGCAGAACAACATTTGGGCCACAAAAGCCATAAATACTGCTGCCTAAAGTCCTAAAATTCCCGCAAGCACTTTGACAGCACTACGGTTGAAACATTCTGAGCAATCGCTGTCCGCATATGTCACTCGCGATAAGCGCAGCCGGCGGCTCCGGCTGTGGCGTGGGGGGGCATGTTCTACAGGAGAATCACGGACCGAAGTCCATTCAAAAGCCCATGCTTTGGCACTCACGGAATTGGTGAATCGTGCTGCAACCCTAAACCCTGAACTTTAAACCCCAAAACCCTAAACCGTCTTGTTTTCCGTGGGGTGAACATCGTGCTCCCACCACAGTCCTGTGCTCGCTTTCTCCCGGGGAGTCGCTGGAAGCTTCGAAAACTCGTGGCCACGTTACTCTGCTGTTTTGGGCTACTGCAGGTAGTCTCGACATCCCGTCTCACTCTGAAGCTACTTAGACCACTTTAATATCTAAGCATGGATGCATATACGTGTGTATATATATATATATACATCTTTCTTATTTATATATTTATCTATCTCTCTCTCTCTCTCTCTCTATCTACCCATCCATCCATCCATCCATCCATCCATCTCTTCTTCTGTTGGGCTTGCTCTCTCTCTCTCTCTCTCTCTGTCTCTCTCTCTCTCAATCTAGACCCCTTTGAAAAAACCCAAAACAGCAGGCCTCACATGGTCGAGAGCCCACTGCGGCCGCAAGGAGGATGCAGCGGGGCTTTGGCGTGGCCCGTGCCCTGGAACCCAGGAATCCTAGAGATGTCTCCCTGGACGTAGGGCTAAGACATCCGTTATTTAAATGGGTTTCTGGCTTAGGATTTGAGGGTTTGTGTTGGCGGGGTTGGAGTTTGGGATTTACGGCATAGGGTTCAGGGGCAAGGAACCCTATCCCTATCCTCGCCCTAGGCACATCTTCACTGAAGCAAGGAACTCTTGCCATCAGTTTGGGGCCGAGGGGCGACGACCCACAAACCACGCTAGGACTACAAAAGAGTCTACCACTCTCATCATAGCTTCCAGCACTTGAACCCAGATGCACATACCCTGCTCCTATCCGACAGCC